AAGTGTCCAAGGCCAGGCTGGATGAGGCTTGGAGCAACCTGGTCTAGTGGAAGGTGTCCCTGCCCATGGCAGGGGGGTTGGAATTGAAAGATCTTTAAGGTCCCTTCCAACCCAAACTGTTCCATGAAAATGTAATGCCTGCTATCCTAGCATGGCATGAAAGGTGTGGATCTGAGAAGAATAGCAGGGAAGCAACAGTTTCAGACTCCCATATTATCCTGGCCAGATGTCTTCATACATAAATGAAAAACCAAATCGCCTCCTCTGGCCTTTCGGGGTTTGGTTTGGGTTGAGAGGTGGAAGCAGCACGCTGCCAGGCAGCCCAGTGCCGCGCTGGCAGTAGAGCGGGCCCCTTGCTGTGGGGCATCCCGTGGGGCACTGGTGGAGCTGTGGGGCATCCCGTGGGGCACTGGCGGAGCTGTGGGGCACCCTGTGGGGCACTGGCGGAGTTGGGAGAGCCATGCTGTTAAGAAATGCGCCCGGATGGGAGGAGGTGGAACTTCGCTGTAAAAGTAGCTTACTTGGAGCAGTGGCAAATGTTTCCTGCCTCCCTTTTCCACCAAGTGGCAGTGTTCTCCTTCCTCATTGCTTCGAGCTTGCAGTAGCTGTGACAACTAGTGGGAAGGAGTTACTCTAAATCCAAAGTGTGGCCAGAAGCGGGGCACTTGATTATACCTTGGTAACCCTTTCGGCAGCCAGTACTTTGTTATGTCCCAGCTGACTGCAGTAGTTGTTCTTCCTCTCTCAGTTTCATTGTGAGACATCACAGACCTGGAAATGTGGGTATCAGGGGCTCTTTCTTTATGGCTAGGGCTTTTCCAGGCCCTGAATCTGACTGTACACTGAAGGTAAATCCTTTAAAATGCACCAAATGGGTAAAACCATTGCAATTCACTGGTTAATTTAGTCTTTTAAAGCCCTGAATGTACATTTGGCATTTTTTTTGTGTTGGTCTCTTTGTACCTATTGTGGATGAGCTGCTTTGAGATTGTCTTCATTAACGACCAGGTTGTGCGGAGAAGGGGTTCCCTCCTTCCTGCTGCATCCTGTGAGCTGGCCTCGTTCTGCACTTGGATAGGACCAGGCACACAACCTCCGGAAAGTTCAGTTGGCGTCAGCTGTGGGTACAGACTGAGGAGACTGGAAGTGGGGAATGATGTAAAAACTGTCTGGTGAAGGGGAGAGTGGAATTTGGAGCCTGCCTCCAAGAGCCCCAGTAGGGAGGTGGTTTTCCTACCCCACCTTGTGGTGTTGATACTTATCTCAGGATTTTGTCCTGATTTCAGGGAGTACCCCCTTGATCTTGACCTGAAAGCATTCTTCCAGAGCAGGCTTCTGTCCCAGAGGGTTCTCTGTTACTGAGCACCTGTCAACCAGTCCCAAACACCGTGTGTTTGCAGCAGAAGGCAGAATCCTACCCCTTCACATAGCAAAGTCAGATACCTTCCATCCTGTAACTGCATTTTGAAGTACTTCAGGGACTCATGGAAAATGGGAGATTCAAATGTAGGTACAACTCATTGCTCTCAAATTTCACTCAGGAAGGATGTGCTCAGGCTCTGGAGCAGGACAGAGCTGTTCGTGACCAAAATCACCTCAGGGGTCCCAGGTTTTAAGTTACCAATTGCAAACAGCTGTCTTAAAAGCGCTTCAGAAACAAAGCTTTCTGCTCAGAAGTGAAAAGAGAAGCTGTTGAGTGAAGGTGTGGTGTTAAAGATGGAATCCCACAGCCTGGACAGGTTCTTTATGTCTCTTCCTCAGATAACAGAGCTGTGGGTACAAAACAAAGGATGCTGTGGAAATGGGTGTGCGGTTTGGTGTGGAGCTGACATTGGTTTGGAATCAGGAGGGTTAATGGGCTGTGTGGGGTGTGCAGGTTGCTTGGGCTCTTGCCAGCAGCTGGCTGCGGTTACAGCCTCCCTGCAGTAACAAGATCCAAGCCTTCAGCGCTCACTGAATGGACCAGCCCTGCAGGAAGAAGGAAAATGAACCTTAAATGAAATATTGACCTTGTGCTGCAAGTCTCACCTGAGGGGTTGGGTACTTCGTGTTGTAGGGCTGGCTGAATTAGAGGTTGGAAGTGCTGATCAAGGACAGAGCCCAGCCCTGCAGCTTGGCTTGCTGGCGTTTTCTCAGGGGGAAATCATTAACTCTTGAGCCTTGATAGCGGTATCAGGCCTAGCCAGCGCAGGAAAGCTGATAAATATTGCCACTCCCTCGGCATGTGAATGCCTGACACATGGTAACAGTTTTCCAAAGCAGGTGGCTGCTTTGATGTTTTCCTTTCCTGGTTTTGGTTTAAGGGTTCCCCCTGCAACCTTTTGGCCTTGTATGGGGAGGCAGCCAAGCTGGGACCTAGCAGAAGGGTGTCCAGTTTTCAGAGGACTATTCTGTTTATAAGCATGTCAAGTACCACCTCTTGATAATCATCAACTCTTTATTATGGTCAGTTTTTATTGATCCGGCGTAACTGTAAAGTCATTTTACTGTGTTGTAATGCATAGCTGGGACCTGATGCTTAGAGAGAGGCTGTTGATTGCAATGGGTTTTTATCTTGTCTGCCCATTAACCTGTTTGTTTAAATACTGAATTATCTTGATTTAAAGTAGAAGTGGTAAGTACTAAGAACCAGTAAAAGGGGGTGTGTGCAGTAATGTAATCCCTGTAATTAACTCTTATGTTGATAAGTCATATTCATTTTTTCTGAATCCAAGATACGTTCATCCAGACAAATTCTGAAAAGGTGCCTGAACCTACT